CCTCACTCTCCTCTCCCCCCAGGGCTCCTCACTCTCCTCTCTCCCCGGGGCACCTCACTCTCCTCTCTCCCGGGGCTCCTCCCTCTCCTCTCTCCCCGGGGCTCCTCACTCTCCTCTCTCCCGGGGCTCCTCCCTCTCCTCTCTCCCCGGGGCTCCTCACTCTCCTCTCTCCCGGGGCTCCTCCCTCTCCTCTCTCCCCGGGGCTCCTCACTCTCCTCTCTCCCGGGGCTCCTCCCTCTCCTCTCTCCCCGGGGCTCCTCACTCTCCTCTCTCCCGGGGCTCCTCCCTCTCCTCTCTCCCCGGGGCTCCTCACTCTCCTCTCTCCCGGGGCTCCTCCCTCTCCTCTCTCCCCGGGGCTCCTCACTCTCCTCTCTCCCGGGGCTCCTCCCTCTCCTCTCTCCCCGGGGCTCCTCACTCTCCTCTCTCCCGGGGCTCCTCCCTCTCCTCTCTCCCCGGGGCTCCTCACTCTCCTCTCTCCCGGGGCTCCTCCCTCTCCTCTCTCCCCGGGGCTCCTCACTCTCCTCTCTCCCGGGGCTCCTCCCTCTCCTCTCTCCCCGGGGCTCCTCACTCTCCTCTCTCCCGGGGCTCCTCCCTCTCCTCTCTCCCCGGGGCTCCTCACTCTCCTCTCTCCCGGGGCTCCTCCCTCTCCTCTCTCCCCGGGGCTCCTCACTCTCCTCTCTCCCGGGGCTCCTCCCTCTCCTCTCTCCCCGGGGCTCCTCACTCTCCTCTCTCCCGGGGCTCCTCCCTCTCCTCTCTCCCCGGGGCTCCTCACTCTCCTCTCTCCCGGGGCTCCTCCCTCTCCTCTCTCCCCGGGGCTCCTCACTCTCCTCTCTCCCGGGGCTCCTCCCTCTCCTCTCTCCCCGGGGCTCCTCACTCTCCTCTCTCCCGGGGCTCCTCCCTCTCCTCTCTCCCCGGGGCTCCTCACTCTCCTCTCTCCCGGGGCTCCTCCCTCTCCTCTCTCCCCGGGGCTCCTCACTCTCCTCTCTCCCGGGGCTCCTCCCTCTCCTCTCTCCCCGGGGCTCCTCACTCTCCTCTCTCCCGGGGCTCCTCCCTCTCCTCTCTCCCCGGGGCTCCTCACTCTCCTCTCTCCCGGGGCTCCTCCCTCTCCTCTCTCCCCGGGGCTCCTCACTCTCCTCTCTCCCGGGGCTCCTCCCTCTCCTCTCTCCCCGGGGCTCCTCACTCTCCTCTCTCCCGGGGCTCCTCCCCCTCCTCCCTCCCAGGGCTCCTCACCTTCAACCCCCCCCCCCCTGGGCTCCTCCCCCTCTTCCCCACGGGGCTCCTCACCTTCAACCCCCGCCCCCACAGGGCTCCTTGCCCTCTCCCCTCAGGATCCTCACCCTCGATCCCCAGGGATCTTCCGGTACATCTTTTTTCTGGTAGTAATGCGCAGCTCCGGATATATGCGCCGCTGTCTGCATGAGAACCTTGGGTCGCCGGTTGGGATGGAGCTCATAATCGTAGATGACGTCCACTTGGTGAGAGGAGAAGAGCTGCAGAACGCACACACAGAACGTCAATCAGATACAACGCACAGACACAGAACGTCAATCAGATACAACGCACACAGAGAACGTCAATCAGATACAACGCACGCAGAACACTCGCTGGACTTGGCATGCTTTGCTCAGACCGGAAAATGTCACATGTACGCTTTTGCTGAGCTGCAACTTAAATCCTTGTTGTCAGGTTTCCCATTCTGACCGGCTGTGAAACGCATGCAGCGTGTTCCCAGATTCCAGCCCCGCCCCCTGACTCCAGGTCTCCTTGTGCACACTATCTGCACCCCACAACGCGTGCGTCTCTCCATTGCTATCTGCGTATTGCGCACACTGCGGGTTGGGGGATCCGGGACACACTGCATTAGAAATGTTATTAGTACATAGGAGAACCTTGTGGAGTTCCGTGTGTCCTGGTGACAGGTTCTCTTGAACTTTATTGATTTTGTTACTTTGTATCAGTTTGGTGATCCCGC